AATGAGCTTGAAGAATTTTAGCTTTAATGTTGTAGACATTTAGCAGCACATTTCAAAATTCATTCATTAGGGTAAAGTAGTAAAATAGTACTTTCCTCAAATTTAAAATGGTATTGGTCATAATGCCCATTTAAGAAAGCAAAAAACATAGCCTATTAAAAAGGACATTCCATTGACTGGTGGAGGTATCCCAATGTCAGAGATATTAAAATGTACAGAAGTATATGCCACAAAATAGATGAAATATGGTATATAGAAGGGGAAAAAGCCTTAGAAAAATAAAATCAGTTCCAGAATATTATTTCTAGGATGCTTTACTAAGCAATGATGACTTTATTCAAATAATAAAAGAACTGAGTGGGTCAATGTAAATTAGTTCTGAACACTGTTCAAATCTCTATTCCAGAGCTTCTGGCTGTACTGTAGTTAGGTAGAATTCCCACACATAAACTGCAAAGCCAGTTTCTAGCTAAACTCTCAATCCTTATGGCCAGAAAATCTAATGATGAACCTCAATAAATATTTATTTGTTCAATTAATGAAGGAATGTAGTAAGAGTTGTCCAATAATGTCTGAATTAAGGTATCATGGAAGTCACTAATAGATGGTGCTTCTTAGAAATACCCCCAATCATTTTGCTACGGTTATAACAGGATGTCCTGACAAACACTATTTTCCTTAATCTGCCCACTCTACATGCAAAAATACTTCTCATATAATTATAACTTACCAGCACTTGCAATGGTATTAAGGGAGAAGATGGGTTTTTCTTCTGTCTTATAGGAGATGACAGACCTAAAAATGACAAAAGCAAATGTAAATCTCAAAATAATTTTTAAACTGTTAAGTAGACATTCAGTTATTTCAAAATATGAACAAAAACATGAACATAAAAAAGCTTTGATTTGTAAATTTTTCTTGCCTGAACTGATTAAAGATGATAGAGCCTTCATCAAACTCATATCCAGAATTTAGTAACTCAAGGGCAATGACCGACGCATCTCCAAAGGTGGGGGGCTTTCTTCCCACTTCTTTGAATGTCACCAGAAACTGGTCAGAATGAGTCCTATGA